CACAAGCAGGGGGAGTGGCAGGCAGAGGGAGAGGGAGAAGCAGGCTTCCTGCCAAGCAAGGAGCCTGACACAGGGTTTGATCCCAGGACCCTGGGATCATGACCTGAGCTGAAGGCAGAAGCTTAACCGACTGAGCCACCCAGGTGCCCCTAAATCTGTCCTAACACTGATCATGGAGCCTGGCTCCATGTTCATGTTTGTTTAATAAATAAGAATTGTGACATAGTTGTGATTAAAATCTTCTTATCCCTTGAGAGGGGGCATGAAAGGAAAAGCAGAGTTCCTTCATCAGTCACTGGCTGTCCCTGCAGGTCGGGTGGATCAGAGAAGGGAGAAGGTGACTCACTCGTAGGTGGGTCTGGCCTGGGCCCATCCATACAGGCTGTGGACGTCGTAGTGCCGCACTCGCGAGCCATCTGGCAGGACCTGCTCACTCTCCATGCACAGGGTCTTGCTGCTCAGGCCCCTGTCCCTGGACTCCAAATCTGAGGAGAAAGATCTAGTGATGTAAATGCCATGCCTGATCCTGTTATCCCTGACCTCTCTTTAAGGGATTCGACACTGGATCTTAACTAATTTGACCCGTGCATGGGTCCCTCTCTTCTCCAGGGGCATGGGAATGTGCTCGGCTCTGAGCTGCAATAGAGTCCAAAGGTGTTTTCAACATCAAGTCCCCTGCAGGGTTCTCCAGGAGAAAGCGGGGGCAAGGGGAGGAAAACACAGTTGTCAAACACCTAACTATTTGACAGGATGCAGTTTAAGCGTTTTTCTTATAAATCATTTCATGTAATTCTTATCATAACTCTATAAAAGAGATAGCATTATCTCCCTTCACAATTAAAAAAAACAGATTTGGAAATATCAAGTAATCTATTGAAGGTCACACAATTCATAGTGAGTATAATTTCTGGAGCCAAGATATGAACACAAGTATAACACCAAAGTCCATTGACTCCATGATAAGGAGAAGCTGCTACTCTCCACCCACTGACGGCACAACAAATTCCTGTGGAGGAATTCACAGAGGCCTGAAGAATTAAGAAACTTAGTTCTAGAATCCTTTGGAGACATAACCACTGTTAAGTGTTTTCAGAACAAATTTGAGAAATTCACCCAACAGGGCCAGTAACTTATACACACTCAGCTGGATAAAGTGCTTGATGTGTATTTGTCTTTGGCCCCCCTAAAACCACAACACCAGTTAAGATGTTCAGGATAAACCCTGGCTGCTGGGCTCTTGTAGGGATCACTCCTCGTAGCCATGGTTCTGCCAACAGAGGAGATCGAGGGCTCTTACATGGCATATAGGGAGGGTGGTTCAGAGTGGCATCCTTGCAGCCTGGAGGAACTGCTCCATTCACAAAACTCGCTGGCTCATTCATATCCTAGAAATGTCAAACACAGATATATCTTACTTTTTCAAATCATTACATCCTGCCAACTCAGAGACAAGGAAGTAATGAATAAATCATTCACCTTCCAGCAATCCCGTAGATACCAGCCCAGGGAGACTCATCAGATCCAGCTGAGAATTGACTAGAGAGATCAATTAAGCCCACGAGAATGACTGGCTAGAGGATTAAAAAAAAAAAAAATTCTCCCTCAAGGTATGAGGCAAGGCTCAAGTCCGAGAAATTCTCAGTAATCACGTTGGTGTTTTACAGCAGGAACTTCAGGCAAGGTATAAGATATGAGGAGTATCAGATGTTCCACTTCTGACTGGAGGAATTGCAATCAGATGTGTCCAAAGTCTTTCTTGGATGATTATTATCCCTCTTGATTAAAGGTCATCATATACAAGCTTAAAAGATAGAAACACACCCACCCACAGACACAAACCCACACACTTACAATCCACATGCCATCAAATTTCAAGCTTCTCTCTGGATTCTGTGGATTGGTGTAGAGTTCTTGCAACTCCCTCTTCCACCACGTGGTAGTTGAGTTACGGAAAAAGTCGGGAAAGGCCACATAAGCTCGGTATAGCTGTAAAAATTAAATAGAGTTTATTGGTTCCCCCCAAATTTTATTAGACAGCAAACAGACATTTCCTGAGAGCATAACTCATGCACACCCCTGTAATGCATGATGATAGATAATCCAAACAGAGCCTAAATAACGTTTGCGGCTTACTTGAAATATAATGAGTGCACAGAAGAGACATTAGCACAAGTTAGACATCTGCTTAGCATCTGGAAAGTATCCATGGACTGTCTTCCTCTTTGTATCAACATGAACGGTAGCAACCAACACCCTACACTCATTGTCTCACGCACTAGATGCTTAACTTTCAACCTCTGTCCTGCCATTTCCGAAGGTTGACTCAGAAACAAAGCAGGAGCCAGGGAGAGACTGCAGCTTGAAAGACATCAGATGGACTGTCAGCAGGATGGAAGGCAACATCCAGGCAATCGTCTCCTGTCTCATTCCCACTGGGGAAAGGAGGTGAGGGCTGAGACATCTCACTAGTGTGCATGTGTTTTCTGTAGTTTCAGAAATCACTGGAAAACTGCACTTGTGTGTCAAGTCGCTTGGGAGGAGCTAAAGAGGAAGTTTTAACACTGCCCCCTTCTCTTTGTCTTCCCCCAAATAATAAAAGCTGTGTCTTTATTTTAACTTGGATCCAAAGCTTAACTATATTATAAGGATTTTGAGAGCAAGGACCTTGTTTTATACTCTTTTGGTTGATCTTTGTACTCACCCACAGTGCTTAGCTTCACACCTGATGTGAAATAAATGCTCAGTGCATTATTGTGAATTCACACCGTGGGGCAGCAACAGCAAATATTTTTAAATTTCTATACAGCCCATGTTGCTTGTGATAGAAATTCATGGTCCTTTGTATGTCCCAGTAAATAGGTGCCTCTGTGTTCCTCAGTGCATTTTTTTTTTAAGATTTTATTTATTTATTTGACACAGAGAGAGAGAGCACAAGCAAGGGAAGAGGCAGAGGGAGAGGGAGAAACAGGCTCCCCGCTGAGCAGGGAGCCCGAAGCGGGGCTCGATCCCAGGACCCTGGGATCGTGACCTGAGCCGAAGGCAGACGTTTAACCAACTGAGCTACCCAGGCGCCCCTCCTCAGTGCATTTTAAGAGTTAAAGAGCTAAGTAATGCTAGTGGTGGGGGAGGGGAGCCTGGGGGAGGGAGGTAAGGAGGAGGGGGGACAACAGAAAGAGGACTTTGTTTAGGAAACCTCCAGTTCTTTTTTTTTTTTTTAAGATTTTATTTGAGAGCGAGAGAGAGTGAGAGAGAGAGCACAAGCAGGGTGAGGGGCAGAGGGAGAAGCAGACCCCCCGCTGAGCAGGGAGCCCGATGTGGGCCTCGATCCCAGGACCCTGAGATCATGACCTGAGCTGAAGGCAGATGCTTAACTGACTGAGCCACCCAGGTGCCCTGGAAATCTCCAGTTCTTATACTCAGTAGACAAAAGGCAAGTAGGAACCCATATGTCCAGATAAAAGGCAAAAAAGGAACACAAAGAAGAAAACAGAAACAGAACAGAATGCAGGGATCCAGCTCACAGAGAAGTGAGGGGTAGTGAACCACATCACTGAGAATCTCTTAAAAGGGAGGCACCCCAAGATGCCTTTTTGCTAGAAAATAGATGTAGAAACATGGAAGCAGAAGAAGAGAACCTTTCACCAGAAACAGAGCTCTAGCTCAGGCAGGTTAGAAACATAGTGTAGAGGAGGGAGACAGGATTAGGGTAAACAGAGTCAATACCAGCCATGCCTGAATCACAACTAAATCTCATATGGGATACAAGTGAGAAATTTGACCAACTCTAATTCATTAGCCTCACTGAAAGGTACTCTGATGGCTTTTACCCATGAAATACATGCTTTGCCATTCTCCAAGGTATTGGCTCTGCCTCACTGCTGTCCGTATTCAGCTCTTGCCTCGTTACTTCTGCCCTCACTTTCCTTGGGTCTCACCTCATGATGTACCCACCTGCATGTCTGGCCATAGGATCACTTATCACAACCCACTGTGTGCGTGCTACCAAAATGCAATTCTTAGCCCCAACCCTAGACTTACTGAATTCAATCTGAGTTTCAGACTCAGCAATCTGCTTTCCACAGGCTGCCTGCTATTTGTTTGTTTGTTTGTTTGTTGTTTGTTTTATACTACCCTCAGCCAAGCCAGACCTGGATATCTGTAGCTTCATCCCCACTGGCCTTGTGAAGTGGGTCTTACTAATAAAAGTAGTCATAATTATTCCATCTACTGAGAATCTCTTATATACTATCAAATACATATCATGACTTCATTAGGGTGCCTTCATTAGAGTCTCTAAAAAGAAACACAATTGGCATCTGGGGCAGGAGAATTCTTCATGGAACATCCCCTACAATCAGAACTATAAGTGTCCCTAGTCACTCTCCACTAAATGCCATTTGGTGCTCCCCTTGTAATAATCAAAACTGCCCCACAGATTTCCAAATGCCTTCAATGGCTGATGAACTGTAGGATAGCCAACCTCTTCATTACTAAAGTGGTCCCTTTCCCAGTAGGATTTAAAAGTCATGATATTGGCATTAAAAAAAGATACATAAACCAATGACACAGAATAGAAAGTCCAGAAAGAAATCTACACATATACCATCAATTAATCTTTGGCAAGCATGTCAAGAGCACACAGTGGGAAAACAATAGTCTCCTCAATAAATGGTGCGAGGAAAACTGGATATCCACATGCAAAGGAATGAAACTGAACCCTATCTTACACCACTCACAAAAAATTTTCAATCTGAATTAAAGACTTAATTTTTTTAAACTTCTTTTTATTTATTTATTTTTTTACATAGGCCCCACACCCAGCATGGAGCACAACGTGGGGCTTGAACTCACAACCCTGAGATCAAGACCTGAGCTAAGATCAAAAGTCAGATGCTTAAATGACTGAGCCACTCAGGCGCCCCAGGACTTAATTATAAGACCAGAAACCATAAGACTTCTAGAAGAAAACAGGTGAAAAGCTCCTTGACATTGGTCTTGGCAATGATTTTGGGGGAGAATCTGACACCACAAGCATAAGCAACAAAAGCAAAAATAAACAAGTGGGACTATATAGAACTAAAAATTAGCTTCTGCACGGCAGAGGAAATAATCAATGAAATGAAAAGGCCACCTAGGGAATGGTAGAAAATACTTGCAAACCATATATCTGATAAGAGATTAACTTCCAAAATACATAAGGAACTTATTCAATAGCAAAAAAACCCAAATAAACAGATTAAAAAGTTGACAAAGGATCTGAATAGATAAATTCCTAAAGAAAACATACAGATGGCCAACAGCTACAAGAAAAGGCACTCAACATCACTAATCATCAAGGAAATACAAATCAAAACCACAATGAGATATCATCTTACACCTATTAGGATAGCTTTTACCAAAAAGACAAGAGATAACAACTGCTGGTGAGGACAGGGACAAAAGGGAACCCTTGTGCACTGTTGGTAGTAATTTAAATTTGTATAGTCACATGGTAAAAAATATGGAGGGTCCTCAAAAAATTAAAAATAGAATTACCATGTGATCTAGCAATCCCACTTCTGGAAATATATACTGAATAAAATGAAATAAATATCTAAAGAGACATGGACACTCTCATGTTCATTGCATTATTCCCAACAGCCAAGATGTGGAAATAACCTAAGCATCTGTTAGTGGGTGAATGGGTAAAGAAGATATGGCATACATACATACTATGAAATATTATTCAGCCATGAGAAAGAAGGAAATCCTGCCATTTGCAACAGCATACCTGAACTCAGAGGACATTATGCTAAATGAAAAAACTATACAGAGAAAAATAAATACTATATGATCTCACTTACATGTGGAATCTAAAAAAAAAAAAAAAAAGGTTTAACTCATAGAAACAGACAGCAGCATGGTGGTTACTGGGGGGTAAGGGAGTGGGGAAAATGAGGAGATGCTGGTCTAAGGGTATAAGCTTTTATTTTTAAGATGAATAAGTTCTGGAGATCTAATGTACAGCCTGGTGATTGTAGTTAAAAATACTGTATTATATA